ACTAAAACATAAAGCATGATAAAGTATCCAACACTTGTCCGTCAGAGAACAGATAGCAAAATAATCAAATTGACCATGAATCCTTACATAAAGCAAGGATGTAAATCGCTTGAAACAACCTGCCTGTGTTAGAAAACCAAAGGAAAATGTGCGAAGGAAATGGGACGTAATTCTAACTCTGCAGAAAAACAGAAGCTTCCCTCACAACGATTTCCAGAAGCGTCCCCAAGGCAAGTTACCTTCGCTCGAAGCAAGAAAGCTTTCACCGTTGCCGACAAGCTACCTCTGCCCAGCGTCGTGGACGTGAGCGGAGAGTTACTAAGGGAGGCGCAGGATTAGAAAAGTGTGTCCTTCCCGCTGTCGAAGATCACCGTAGATGAACAGTTGCTGTAGGGGATTGAAATTAAAAGACCGTTTTTTGACGGAATGAAAGCAAACCCGTATCTGTCCACACAGTCGGACAGATGTAATCAATACTATTTTGTTGATAGTTTCTGAGAGATGTACATTTTCATGAAGACCTGCTATTTTGCCATGAGCTCCCCACCAAAACAACAGCCAGTGAGTTCTTTCACGGTCTTAATGTTAATTTAAGAGACTTCAAGGGAATATTTGCGTGGGTGCATGCACGTACTGTGTAGTGCTGTTTCAGTGACCAGGATACCCAGTGGTGTTACAGTACAGACAGAGGAGAGGGCTGTTTCCTACATTGCTAAAGCTCACCCTCACGATGGCACTGGAGCTACAGGACCTCAGGCCTCTAAAAAGGTCAACTTTGTTGGAGGGGAAATGAGTAAATCCCAAATGCTCTTCAGTGTTTCATGAGAGCATGGAGGCAGAGTAGGTGGAATTTCTGAGTCTCAGTGAAGTGAACTGGCTCTCCAGAGGGCAGGTGCACAATCACCCGCTTGAACTGAGAATAAACAGTGTCTCCTCTTCCTAAGGAGATCAGGTGCCTGCTGCTGCAGCAATGCCTACCTGCTGCCCTCCTTATCGGACACGCACGAAGGCCAAGAGGGGGAGGGGAAAAATGTTCCCAATCCCAGTAGAGTCGAGTCAGATTTTGGATGGTTCTCCGTGCATCAACATCTCCATAGCTGTCCGAGCACCTGACTCCGCCTTGAAATGAATTCACAGACAACTTCCACAGGAGATTTAGGTTTTGGAACTGGCTTCACCACAGGGATCTTATGCCTGAAACCCTGTTGGGTTTCCAGCACAGCATGAACTGTCAGCTGCCTGCCGCTGAAAGAACTTGCAATTTATTGAGCTTGTCTGTCTTAGCTTAATATTTCTTGTGGCCCCTGAGCTTTTTGACATAGAGCCAAATAGGTCCAGTGATGTACAAGATGGAGAACCTTCACACATACCGCTGTGCTAAATGTGGCCTTACAAGAGTACTGTTGGGTAGACTGTTGGGTAGACTGAAGTGGAAATCTAATAAGTAAATTGATTCTTAAAAATGTAGAGAGCTTTGAAAAAATATATTGGTGCTTTTAGATAATATATTTCAAGGATGTAACTGCTGTGCTACAGTACGTGCAGAATTTTAGAAAACAGTTCGTCAACAAAGTACACTGTTTAGGTTAGTTTAGAAGACAATGTACCAAAACAATATATGCTGTCTGGGTCATTAGAATTAGCTGAAAGTAACTGATAAGCTTTGAATAACAAATCTAGTTTTTCTTCTCTCGCTCTATGATGTAATCTGTTTTCTCTTAGAAAAAGGGGAAGTTTTAGAAGGGACCAAGTGCTGAACTTTTTTACAGCGCAACGTCTTATAAAAACCCTGTACTGCTTGTAACAAATTGAGTCTCTGGTTGCACTTTGCGAAGTGGCAGCAGGGCTCCCAATATTGCAATATTGAAATAAAGACCTTACTCAGGTGAGAACTCTCTCTTGTGGCTTCCTTGATAGTTATATTTCCATGACAGTAGGGTAAGAAAGTAAAAGGAGGTCGTAATCAGGTCTATTTACAATTTACTTTTAAGGGATTTCCCAGATTCCATCGAAACATTCTAATCAGAAACTGCAGTCCCACAATAATGCACAAAGGAAGTGTTAACTTATATAAATGGAGTTTGTAACGAAATTTCAGGAGAGATGAAAACAACCATGTTCAATCAGACTCGCCCGTCAGTAATTAGAAATCACTCGAGACGTCATTTCCTCTCCTAAAACACTATAAATACCTACGTGATCCCCATCTCTCCCTCGCATATGTCTCTTGCATCCCACCTACACCCTATGTCCACCTCTGCAGCTGCCCCTTGGCCATTCTGCAGGGGGGGTCCTGACCTACTCATCCTGTGGCCAGGAGGTCAGCCCTCAGCCAGGCGGGTTAAGCCAGGTTTTCACTCCATAATCCTGTCATTTTATTCTCCGGTGTTGTTATTCCTAGTGAAATCAAACTTTGACATGAAATCAAGGATTTAGGAATTGCAGGGTCCCCTTGAATTCCCCATCCATCATTTGCCAGGCTGTCGCTTGTGGTAAGGGACATGGCCTCACAAAACCTTTCCCAGAAGTATTGATGACAAGGTGGGACTGCACCCTGGACAGTGGGCCAAGCTCATTCGGGCAATGCAGAGACGCCAGTGAGGCAGCCTGCCTCTCGAAGCCATGCGGCTGCTGTCTGATTTAACTGAAAATTATAAAGCGTGGCTGTGCTTTAGCAGTTAACTGTACATAAAGCTGTTTTTTGTCTGTAAAATCGAGGCTACATGAACGGCAGTTTAGTTAGTAGAACCGCTTGGGATGTTTTCAAAGCGCTGGTGCGTATTTAAATACACTGATTGAGAGCGAAGGCTGAGTGTTCATATTTCCACAGCGCATTCCATAATATTTGAGCCGAATGCAGTGGTTTTCTGGTTTGGGCAGCGCGCGTCGTTGCAAGTTGCAAAGGTAGCACGTAGTGTTGGCGCTGGACCACCCGAACAGCTGATCCCCCCGCTTCAGCACTTCGGACAGCTCCGTTCTGCAGCGCCAGCCGCGGGAGGGGGCTATATAAGCTCGAGGAGCTGCGCCTCTCTTCCCACTCCGCTCCAGCGGCTCCGCAGCATCCCGAGGCGGCGACAGTATGGAGTGCCTCACGAGTTCTCCTCAGAGGAGACCGCAGGGAGAATGGCTCCAGTTTCAGCCTCAGAGTCTCCGGTCTTCTGCATCTCGGCAGTTTCCTAGAAGCCCCTCGAACGCCGGCCTTTCGCCGTCCTATAAAAAGAGCAACGTGATGCTGAAAAAAGAGCCCGTGGCTGTTCTCGGTCACGGCGGCAGCCTTGGTTTAGCGAGCCAGCATTCAGAAGGGCTGATGCTGACCAACATAAACGAGAAAGAGATGCTACAGGGTCTAAATGACCGTTTCGCGGGTTTTATAGAGAAGGTCCGCCTGCTGGAAAAGCAGAATAAGATTTTGGAACAGGAAATTGAAGACCTCCGGCAAAAGAAAGCGTCTCCTTCTTCATTGTCCCAAGCCTTCGAACCCGAGATGAAAGATCTGAGGAAACTTGTGCAAGACATCACCTTGCAAAAGCGCCAGATTGAACTGGAACACCAGCATCTGGACGAGGACTTTTACATTTTGAGGGAAAAATACGAGGAAGAAGCTCGTCACAGAGCTGACACCGAGGCCAGCATTATGACACTGAAAAAATACATGAATGACGTATATCTTTCCAAGATGGAACTAGAAAGTAAGGCTCGCTCTCTGGTTGAAGAAATCGCTTTCCTGAAGAAAAACCACCACGAAGAGGTGTCCGAAATGATGGCCCAAATCCAACAGGCCCGCCTAACCGTGGAGGTGAAGGAGTGCGGGAAGGCGGACATCACCGCGGCTTTGCGGGACATCAGAAAGCAGCTTGAAGGTCACGCCAGCTCCAACATCCAGCACGCCGAGGAGAGTTTCCGCACTCGCGTGGAAAACCTGACCAGAGCCGCGGAGAGCAACAGCCAGGCGCTCCAGAGCACGACACAGGAGATCCAGCAGCACCGCCGGCAGCTGCAGTCCAAGAGCCTGGAGCTGGAGACCGCCAAGGGCACCCGGGAGCTTCTGGAGAGACAGCTGTGCGACTTGGAGGAAAGGCACGACGGAGAAATCAGTCATTACCAGGTATCGATCAGTGCGGGGTTGGTCGGGCTGCGTGCGTTTCTATCATTGCGGGGATCACCTGGACTTTTAAATCTACAAGTGGCAAAACCTACTTGACATTGACTCTACTTTCACCCCGTGTCGGGTTTAATTTCGTGGTAGGAGAGAAAGGTATAAAAATAAAAACCAAATAACATGAAGACGAGTAGAGGGAGAAAAGAAAAGTACTCAGTCTTAATAGCTTTGTAACCCACCGCTCTCGTTAAACACTTTCAACAGTTTAATCAAATTTAGCTATATAACGGATTGAACCAATCCAAAAACAGACAGTGCGAAATAAACTTGAATCTGGCAGATTGTAGTTGTCAGATGGGACTTGCAGTTTTGCTGTTGTGCGTTATATTTACCTCTCCTGTAATGTGACCTTCAAACATCAATTACTGGTTATTCTCACACTTTCTCAGCATTTGTCAGATATTAGGGTTATCGTGTCGACTTATTCAGCTTTATTAATTGTAAGACACTCAAGATAAAGGAGAAAAAACATCACAAACTGTAGTTCATAACTGTTGTTTTTGAGGAACTATACATTTCAAAGAGCTTGGATGACTTTCAAAGTTTATTTGCTGCAATTTCTGAAAATCAAGATAAAATCATATTCCAAAACCTACAAATAAAAGAACCATCCAATGAAACTGTATTTGCAGACACTCCTGTACATGCTTTCAGAAAAATCTGAAGCTTTTTTGCCTTAGAGCCAAAATTCTACAGTATAAAAACATTGGTGTTTCTGTCCAACTGTATGAGTATGGCTTTTAAATATCACTAGAAATGAAATGTCTACTAACTATAGTCACACCACAAGGATTTCTTTGAGTAGGATCCTTTCCTATTGTTTAATCACAGTGTGTATTTCATAATAATAATAATAATAATAATAATAATAATAACATCACTTTATTAACCCTTTACAATTTCTTGCATTAGGAATGATCTTTTCGCATAACCCAGCTTGCTCTCCACGAGACACACAGACAGGGACAGAGTCTGGGGTCAGAGCGCAGGGTCTGCCATTGTACGGCGCCCCTGGTGCAGTTGGGGTGAAGGGCCTTGCTCAGGAGCCCAACAGAGTAGGATTCCTCTGCCGGCTGCGTGATGCCTGCATGATGCTGTGATTTTAATGAGGTGATTCACTTCTTGTGCTTTAACAGGACATCATCAGGTTGCTGGAACATGAGCTTAAACACACAAAATGCGAGATGTCTGGTCACCTTAAGGAGTACCAGGATCTGCTGGATGTCAAAATGGCTTTAGATGTTGAAATTGCATCTTATAGGTAAGGAATGATTTTTTAAAAAATATCATTGCCAGAGTATGCAATACCCGTCTGTGTAATCTGTAACATATCTGACAGTTTTTATAGCATGCCATTTGAACGTTTTTAATTGATGAAATTGGTGTAAATTAGTTTTTGCATATATAACTTGTCTTTATATAACCAGGTAAAAATAATTTTAAATGACATTCCAATTTGAATACATACTTCTAATGGTTTAGTGCATCAAATTGAGTATAAAAACACATGTAAGACATAAGCTATATTTCACAATTTAATAAATCGGTAAAAACATTTTGAGTTGTTTTGCACTATTTTTTAACATTAAAAAAATAAATTGTAAAATAAAGCTGAGACCCTTTGACAATATTCCCTCACCCCTTTTCCTTAGTAACACTCTTTCATCTCTTAGGAAACTGTTAGAAGGTGAAGAGACTCGACTATCCACAGTGGCTGGAGCCCAGGTTTCATTGCCATATGTGTACAGACAGTCCCCTGTCTACACTCTCCCGAGCTACACAAAGGAGCGGAGCAGAGCCACCAAGGCAGAGCCACAGTACAAGTTCGTTGAGGAGATCATTACCGAAACAACAAAGGAAGTAGAGATGACAGAGATTGAAGAGACGGAATCGGAGGAAACAAACGGAGAAGAAGAAGCTAGAGGGAATGGGAGCAGAGAGGAAGAGGAGGCAGCTGAGGCCGAGGAGACACAGGAAAGAGAGGACACCCCAGAATCAGAGGAACAACACAAAGAGACATCTGAGACTGAGGAGACACAGGAGAGAGAGGACACCCCAGAATCAGAAGAGCAACATGAACAGTCATCCCCTGAGGTTAAGGAGACACAGGAGAGAGAGGATACCCCAGAATCAGAGGAACAACATGGAGAGACATCTCCTGAGGCTGAGGAGACACAGGAGAGAGAGGACACCCCAGAATCAGAGGA